ACGCAGTGTTCCTTCCCAAGGCAGGGCAGAGAGTGGGAGGGGAACATGAGGAGGGGGAGGTAGGGCAGAGAGTGGGAGAGGAGCATGAGGAGGGGGCATGGATGGTCCCTCCTCACGGTGCTGTGAGCTCTGGGCTAGAAGCAGCTGGTTCCTGCCCTACAAAATCAGGGTCTGTGCTGCTGACCCAAAAGCCAACAGGGTCCTCTGTATGGAGTGGGGTCCTGTCCTATCTATTCCCTGTGACAAGTTGGCATGACCATGGCATACTCAGCCCCACGTTGGGCGCCTTATGTGCTGAGCCAGCTCAGCTAGGTTCAGTGAGCCTGAGAAGAGGCGGTGAAGGACTGAGAAAAGACAGACAAGAGACGAAAGCTGGGTCTGGGCGGGACGCTGTCCTCTCTGATAGAGAGCGACAGTGCCACGGACAGCAAGCCAGTGTCTTTATTTTATAGCCAGATTCCATGAGGCAAGTAAGGGCGTGGTCAAGATGTTTACAGCATTCTCGTGAGTTTCGATTGTGTTCACACCACAGGTTCAAGCTTACAACTCTAGCTGTTGGCTATCATTGTGCTGGGAGGGCTCTGCCCTCCAAGCTGGGACTTGCACGTGGCCATGAGAGGACTGTGCCCTCTCATTAGTCCAAGGCTTGAACCTGTCCAAACACTGTAGCCGCTCTCCCCAATCCCCCACATTTAAATAAGGCTTCCCTAAACCAGAGCCCCGTCCTGAGGGCTCGGAGGGGACCCGACACCCCTTTTCTAATAAAGCCTGAATCTGTGAGAACCTCCGAGGCCACTTGCCTTCCTCCTGGCAGCTGGCTCGGCCCTGGCTGCTCCTCTGCATCCCCTGCAGGGCCAGCCCCAGACAAGCATCGGTTTGTGCTTCTCAGTGTTTCAGACACACACACACTTGCAGCCAGTGAGTCACGCTGGCAGCTGGCGGAGAGGGACTTTGGAACAGCCTGGGTCCCCTCTCAGCCAGCGCCCCGGCCTGGGGCAAGAGTGGCCTCTGCTCCCCTTGTGGGCACAGACCTGGGGGCCTGGCACCTGCATCCTGTCCCTCTTCACCACCTGCAGGCCTGGGGCCACTTCTCCCCCACAGGGAGAAGACGGATCCCTGGCCCTGGCCCTGGCCCTGGCCCTGCTCCGCCACCAGCGCAGACGGCTGGTCCTGTAACCTGGTGTGTCCTCGGGGAGGGATTTGAGGCTGGAGAGTAAAGAGCCAGAAGACCGTGTCGCTGCAGGTGAATGAAGGGGACTTGTCCTCCACATCCTGCACCCCATCTCCCAGCCTCCCGGCGGGAGAACCGGGGCCCACCTGAGCCTGGGCGGCCTTTCCCTGTGGGAGTTGCAGTGGAACAACCCCCGCGGGTGAGAGTGTCAGCAGGTTTATTAGGGATTGCTCGGCGCCCAGCCTGCTTGGGGCACCAGGCTGTGCCTCCAGCACCGCGTCTCGCTGCCCACGGGCACCCGCTGACCCCTGTCCCCTCTGTCTCACCCCGGGGCCAGGACTTCCCTTCTAGCCGAGTCCTTGGCGGCCATGGGCTGGCCTCGCACGGGGTGTAAGGCTGGGCGTGAAGCGGGGAGGGGGCGTTGGTGTCACCTTGCTTTTAGGACCAAGTGTGACAGTGGGGACCCCCCTCCCCGTCCCCCCCTTCCTCCTGGGCCTCAAGGTGTTGCGGTCACTGTGATGGTGACGTTCACTGGCGCATCCATGGACTCCTGCGCCGGATCCGAAGCTGGGGTGGCAGGTGGCGTTTCGGTGCCTGAGGAGCAGAATGAACAGGCAGAGAGGTGCCTGCGGCGGGGTGGGGGAAGGCGGGGGGAGTCCCAGGTGGTCCTTAGAGGACAAGAGACATCGTGCATCACGCATGAGACCCGGGACCGGCCCCCTTTCCATGAGTCGCCTTTGGGATAAGATGCCGCGTACCTGCCTGCGCCTCGGGGCCCCCCGCCGAGCCCCTGTGTGGGCGGCTCTGCTCCCTGAGGGCGAAGTGGGACAGCGAGGTTAGTGACAGCCACACCGTCCCAGCCTCTCGTCCCAGCCTCGCTTCCCAGTGGGAGGGAATCCCGAATGGGGTCGGCATGCACTCACATGGGAATGAGCAGCTGCCCGAGGCCTGCAGACAAGGGGGAGGGGAGCCTTAGTGAGCAACATCCCAGGTCACAGGAGAGCCCTCCTCCCCAGAGGCTCCCGCAGAGACCAGGAGCCTGAGGGGGTGCCGGGGTGCCTGAGGTTGGGGTTGGCCCCAGGGGCATCTCAGTGTCCTACCCCGGGGGTGGGGGGTGGGGGGGGGACGGTCCTGCATCTCCCTGGGGTCATGGAGACCTGGCTGCCTTCTGGGGTCAAGCAACCACCCCCTTCAGTTTCCACTCACAGGGGAAGGCCTCCGGGTGCCGGGCTGCGTACTGGAACACCAGCAGAGAGGCCACCGTCGCCACCACCATGCCTGTGCCCGCGGCGCCCAGCACAGCTGGGTAGGCGCTGAAGGGCGGGTCCGCTGGGAGGGAGAGCAGTGGATGCACGGGGCAGGTTAGAGCCACGGCTGAACCTGGCAGCAGTGGCTCAGAGGGTGCCAGCTCCCCCTGCACCCCCGGGGGGTGATCAGGGGCAAGGCTGGACCCAGAGAATCTGTGTGCCCCATGCTCTTGAGTTGGATCCCCAGCCGAGTCTCTGTGCTTGGCACCGGGGGCAGTGGGCCAGTTATCTCCGCAGCTGCGGTGTCATGAGGGGTCCCCAGGACGGGGAGAGCATGGGAAAGCCGGGGGCCCACCGTGTGCCCCCGGGATGAGACTGAGGCACAGAGGCAGCCCTCTCCTTCCTCCATCTCCCCTTCCCTGCTTCTGATTCGAGCTGAACTATGGCTCCTAACCCTCAGCTGACACCTCGGGTCTCCCCGGGAGGGAAGGCGGGGGAGAGGACAGTGATGGGGTGGGAGGGATCCAGCAGGAGGGAGCAGAGGGATGGAGTCGGGGTGCCCTGTGAGGAGGAAGATGGGCAGGGCTCGCTTTGGGGGGCAAGGCGAGCCTCGCAGGGCGCTAGCCCAGCACCTGGTATCTGCCCCTCAGAGGGATGTCCCGCCGTGCGGTGGTTCAGAGCCAGGATGCGGAAGGCGTAGAGCACCCCGGGATCCAAGCCCCCCAGCCGCCGGGCCCTGC